GCCATCCACGCGGTCGAGGCGCAGGGCGTCGCGTGGAGCGCCCTGGCCTCCGAGAGCAGGACGCGCCGGCCCCGGCCCGACCCGCCTAAAACGACGCGAAGATCGGGACAACATCGGATCGGGATAACTCGAAATCTCTGAGAATCGGCGGCTTTGGGGGATGTATTGGGCGCCGCGGCCGCTCCAGAGCGTTCCGGAACGCTCTGAGAGCGCCCCGGAACGCTCTGGAGCGATTTATCCCGATCCTAGTCCTGTTTTACCGCCCCGGAGGAGGCCCTGGCACACTCCCTGCGTCGCGAAGAAGCACGACCCTGAGATCCTCTGGCGTCGCCATGTTCTGCAGCGGGCGATCCTCTTGCCGCTTGTCGTGCCCCGGGGGCCATCGCTGATCGATCTGGCTCGAGCAATGTTGCAGGAAGATTGGGCCTGGGTCTCCAGGCGTGCTTTTCGCGACGCTGCCATTTTTGGACGGCGGTTCGAAGTTCGAGGTTCTCGTGCGTTTTCGTCCCGTCCCCCGCGGCTTTCCAGCCTCGGGGTGCTCTCCGGCAGCTGCTCCTCGCCGGGAGGCGTCCGGGGGTGCCGGGATCGTCCCGAGCAGCTGCTGGAGAGCCGGGCCATTGACCCGAGAACGAGGATGCCACGTCCCCAGACCTCCGACGTCATGATTTTTCATGACGTCGACCCCCAGAGGTTTGGACCCATTCCCCAGGACCGGTTTTTCATCCTGAATCGTTTTTTGACGGTCCCGAGGCCCGGTAGGGGCCCCCCAAAGCCACAAATATGGAAAAACCTCCCGTCGTGATTTTTTCATGACTCGAGGGGGTCTGGGGTCAGGGAGGGGTGGGCTCAAGGGGGGAACGAGCGTATCGGCCCCCCAGTCGCCCATTCGCCGCCGCTTTGTGCCCCACAGCCCCCCGCCCCGCGTGCGGTTTCGCCCTCGGAAGCCTCTGGCTGGAGGCCGCCCTCGCGGCCCTGCGGAGATCCACAAGATGATAAGCCTGTTTTCCACCACCACCACCACCACCACCATAAGTTGGAGGAGGGAAGGAGGAGGAGGAGGGCGAGGAGGAGGAGGAGGAAGAGGAGGAGGAAGAGGAGGAGGAGGAGGCGGAGGAGGAGGAGGAGGGCCCCCCCTCCAACTTAAGGTGGTGGTGGTGGTGGAAAACAAGCCCAACACAAAACGGCTCGGGATGAAGAGCTGGTCCCGGGGAAGGGGTCTATGAACGCTTTGGGGGCCCACGCTGTGGGAAATAGTGGCAGTCGGGATGCGGGGGCATATTGGTGATGACGCGGCGGCGACGACGGCGCGTGCGTTCAGAGTTGAAGGTCGCCGGTGGCGAACATTGAGCGATCATGGTTGAACGGCACGATCGTTGAAGGTGGATCGAACCGCGCGGTGTCAGAGTCCAGACCAACGCGCAAATCATCACGACTTGGAGCTTGTCCGGGCCCTACTTGGGGGTACATTGGGCGATGTTAGGAGCCATCTAGGGGCTTCAGCAGCCCACAGGAAGCAACCAAGAGGGTTTGAGCCTTCCGGGGAGCTCGTGGGGGCTGCCTTGAATCGTCTAGGACCAGTCTAGGACCACCTCGGAGCTATCTCGGAGCTGCTATGGGCTGTCGTGTGGCCATCTTGGGGCATGTCGCCCATTGGGGAGGCCTCTAGGAGCGGCTCCAGGCCCCACTTGGAGCGATATTGGGTGATCGCGGAGTCATCTTCAGCCCTGAGAAGCCCATGGGAAGCATCAGCGTAAGAAAGCTGAAGTCACAACAAAAACTAAGTATGGTTTTGCATGCGGCCTCCTCTGCCTCTGGGGGTTGTCTGGAACCAGCTTGGGCCACATCCGGGCTACTTCGGGGTCTGCCACACATTGACCCCTGTTTCTGTCGCACTCTTTGGGTTTCTTGGAGCTCCCTTGAGGAATCCTGGTGCTGTCTTGGGGGTCTTGTTGAGGGCCGCGCCCACGAACTTTGCCTTCGGGTGGCCTGGACCTTGTCGGGGTATTTTTCAGCCAGTGGCCCTCATGGGCCGCCACGCGCGCGTGCGAACTGGCACTAAGAACTGTTCTGAACCTCTCGCCCGAGATGCCAGCACGCTTTCGGCCTGCGGGGGAGTTCAAAGTTCGTTGTTTCGTTCCTGTTTGAACAGACGTTCGCCGTTTCTTTAACGCAGCACTCGGCGCAAACTGTGTAGGCAAAATCGGGGAGGGGGCAGCGACGCAATCGGTTGCAACACCATGCCAGAATGACCGAAGAGTGCCCGAGCACCTGCCTACTGAGTTGAACTCGTGGCCACGCTGGCGTCAGCGTCGGCATGCACTGGCCGCGGGCGGGCGGACCAAGGGTATGCTTCCCCGGAGAGGCCTGGGATCAATCCAGTCGGCGGGTGGGGTGGCAGATCTCATCGATGAGCTGACCCCGCAGCAGCCAGACGCGAGCCCACTCCTCGGATTCCGGTCCACTGCGAGGAGATCCTTTGCGGAGCTCGACCGCAAGCTGACCTTGAGCGCGGAGCTCGACCGCAAGCCAGACTTTGACCGCAAGTTGGCCTCGGAGTCTGCGAAGTCCAGGGACGACGACAGGTCGGAGGGCGACCCTGCACGAAGCGTGGCTGCATCCTCGGAGGTCAAGTCTGAGGACCGTTGGCGTGGGTATAACCTTGCTTCCGCTCCGACTTTCCTGCGTCAGGGTCAATGGATTTTCGAATGGATTCGACATGTTTTGGGGTGTCCAGGGGCCTTTCTCATTCACATTGGCGTGTGTCCTCGTTCCACGAGAAAGGCGTGGTCGAAATACTCGTTGGCTGGAGACACTCTCCAGCGATCGCGTAATGTGTTCTGAGTGAGCTTGTCATTCCAGTGGGGGGAGGAGGCTAGCCAGAACGGTCTTGCACGTAAGTGCTCGAGCGGGGGTTGCACATGATGGCTTGCTGTGCCTCCCCAGATTTGTGAATGCCTGTCTCGCAGGATTGATTGCATGTTGCCCTGGTTCGGTATACGCTCGCCACGGCCTTGATAGTTGCAAAGCGCTTGGGTGGCAAACGATTCTCCCATGCACCGAATCATCTAAGCAAATTGAGGTGTAACTGTAGCTCACTACATACACAACCAAAGTTTGGGACTCCTGCGAGACGTTGCATGCCTCAGCGCATGCAAGCAGTAGACAGGCGGGACTGCACGGCTTATGACTGTCGGCGGTTGCGGGCTGCGTCGTGCAATGCGAGGTTCCTCGTACCCTCGTGGACCACCTCGGGGGGGGGAAGGGGCACGCCGCCACCAGGACCCCCCCCTTGGCTTCTCGCGCTGGTGTTGGTGGTGGCGCTTGCGCCTGTGCTCCTGCTCGGGGAGGGGGGCCGGGAGGAGGAGTGGCAGCAGGCGAGCGGTTCCGCGCGTGTGTCTTGGACCTGCGCGGGGCCCCCCTGGCGGTGCCTCAGGCGCCGCCCCTTTGCGCGCTCCGTGCGCTGAGGACGGGGGTCCAGTGCCGATGCGTGAAACCCGCGCGAACCTCGAACAGTCTTGGGCCCTCGTGGGCTCTCTTGGGCCCGCCCTCGGGGGGCTCATCTCTGGGCCCCCCCTTGGAGCCCCGCGGCGAAGAATCTTCCGGGGAGGGTGGGGGCCAAGGGGGGGTCGGGCGGGGTCGGAGCCTCTCGGGAAAGGCGACGTGCCTGGCCCTGAGATGCGAATGGCACCTCATCTTGTGCACTCTCCTCATGTGCAGACTCCTGCTGGGCCGGGTCGCAGGCTCCATCTCGATCAGGTCGATGCGATTCGGTTCCGACCGTCTATCCATACGATGCGGCCCGATGTTCGCACAGCGCTGGTGTGCATGCTGACGCAGCCCGTTCCGTGCCGATGCGGCCCAGTCAGACGCACACTCGTAGGACGCAATTCCTGGGCGGTTAATTTAGCATCGGCGCTTGCATACGCGTGGTCGAAAACCGACCTGATCTGAAATGATCCAGCAGAGCTCCTTTCAATCTCGCTTTAGCGATCCGACCGAATGGGGCTTAACCCCAGGCTCGATCTGGCGTAGTCCTGTGGTGCCCATATCGGGAATACTAGCCTTTACTCCTTCTTGCAAAGACTTCCCGGGAGTTGCCTACCAACGCGTCCTGATTCGATCCGATTTTCTGTTCGGTGCTGGCTGGTCCAGGGTCGTGAGCCTTGAGGGTGTTTTCGACCTGAGGGCCATAGCGCGCGTTATTGCCCCCCCCTCCCCACCAGAAAGTGGCACTCCCCCCCAACGCGCCCCCGGCACTGCCGCAGTGCGTCGGGCACGACAGTACGTTGTGCCGGACCCCCACTTCGGGGGGGGGGTGCGTCACGTTATGCCCCCTCCGCCCCCGCCCCTCGTCTCCCCTCCCGTAACGCTCGTTATCGCCGCGAATTCTCACAAATGCTCTCCAGGGATGTGAGCCTTCACCGATCCACCCTGGGGGTCCGCTGGCCCCCACCTGCCCGCAGGAGCCTGGCACAGCGCCCGCCAAGCCATCGGGCGGCGGCCTGAAGGGCATGATGGCGCTGAAGAGAGGCCCTGGCGCATCCGGACGGGGCTGAGAGTCAGATGAGGAAGAGGTATCAATGTCGCAAGTGAGCTGATCGCGAGGGGTGCTAAGGGGACAGGGGGGTTGGAGGTGGATGCTAAGATGCTATACCTGACGCAACCTAGCCTATGAGTGGGTGACAAGTGCCCTAAGTGGTTTCGGGGGGTCCGATAACTCCGCTATGTCGGCGGATCCCATTTAGCCTGGACCGCTAATCACCCTAAAATATGTAAGGCACCTGTAGCCCACGTGCACGCCACAGCTTAGCAGCGCCCTATCCTCTAAGCAGTTTCAGCGGTCATCTAAGTCCCCTTGCCATCTCGCTTCTGCCTGCCTGGGCCTCACGGGAGGCCCTCGTCGCAGTGGCTGGATCCGCACCGAAGTGTTGGCCAGAACGCGCCCCAGGAGAGGTCCAAGGCGTAGCGTCAGTGGGTACTCCAGATTTCGTAATAAAAGGAAGGGGGTCACATTTCGGGGGGGGGTCTCTTCCAGGCTATCTTGGAGGGCCTGGGGGGTCTGGGGACGATGTTTTGGAGGGTTCTCCCACGGGGGAGGTCTGAAATGGCTTGTCTTGGAGGGTCCAGACCCCCTCCCTTTTATTACGAAGTCTGGAGTACTTTGGGGGCTCCTCAGACGGGGCGTATTTCTTTGTTGTCCGTGGCGAATGTGGTCCAGAGGCGGGCCAGTTGCGAGCGCGGCACTTGGCCTTCGGGAGGGGGGGCCTCCGTCGCCGCGGCCGGGGACACCGCTCGGCACAGTTGGAGACTGGTTTCTTCAAGAGGGCCCGGCGGTAGCCCAGCTGTCGAGCCAGCATGTCCCCCCCCGGGCACTCGGCCGGTGCTGGGACACGTGGCAAAGGTCGCAGGCCTAGAGGTTGACACCAACACCAAGATCGGCGGCGTCCCTCCACCGAGGGAAGAACATCCCGATCTCGGTGATGGTGGTAATATTCTGGCTTCCAAGGTGACCGAACTATTGCCACCAACACCGAAATCTAGCATCGTCTCCACAATGTGGAGGCAACCCCCCTGGGTTGGTGTTCGTGCCCATTTCCAGGCCTCCAAAAAGGTACTTACATCTGTTCCAAGCGTTCTGGAACGCTCTCAGAGCCTTCCGGAGCGGTCTGAGAAGGCCACGGCGCCCGATCGATCTTCCAGGGCCGCCGGACGCGTGCGAGTTCCGTGCGTGCGAGTTCTGCGTGTGCAAGTTCCACGTGTGCGGGTTCCGCTTCGTGCGAGAGCCGTCCGTGTGAAGTCTACCGCGTCCGTGTGAGTTCCGTCCGCGCGAGTTCCGTCCCGTGCGAGATCCGCTTCGTGTGAGTTCTTCCCCGTGCGCGTTCCGTCCGTGCGAGTTCTACTCCGTGCGAGTTGCGTCCCTTTCTGGTGCGCGCCAAGATACATGGGGCTGCCCAACGCGAAAGGCTCAGGCTATCGGCCGTCACCTCACCCCCCAGAAGATAAGCGGAGCTGTCGCCGAAACATCAAGAACGGTCTCTAGTCAGTTTGGACCCTTGGAGAGATCAAGGGACCGACTTTGAGTTGCCGTTGTCTCAACTCGCCCTGCTCCGATTGACTGCAAGAGGCGTCGGATAACAGTAGCAGGGACGTGTTAGAGACAATGGCGCACCGAGGTGAATGGAAGAGAAGGAGAGCTGCCGCGGAGGAGGTTGATGCGACGCGCGGTTTCGCAGTGTGCGTGCCCGATAACTGCTCGAATGATCAAGGACAAAAGGAGGCGGCGGAAGCAGCAGACGCCGCGCCGCGGATGATGACAGAGGAGGGAGCCGTGCTCAGAGGGTGCAGCCCTGCACGCGCGGCGCTGGTGCCCTCAATGGTGCGAGAAACATATGGGCACGGGCATCACGAACGTGTCTGTTTCACAATGTGCGGCGTTTCGGGGGGGGGCGGGGGGCGGGGGTCGGCCTCCCGGGGGCCGTGTCTGGGCTCGTGGCCATATAACGAGCTGGCCAGGGAAGAAGAACTGCTGTCCGCCTGTTCCTGCCGATCCACGAGAGAGCGCATCCAAAGCACAAACGTAGGCGGCGCAAATGACATGTTGACGCTTCGCGTATCCCCACCAGCTCGACCCTCTGTGCCGGATAAGTTGCTCGCGGTGAACGCCGGCGACGTCGACGACAGGGTCCCTGACTATGGTCGTCGCCTTCGCGTTCAAGCTCCTGCACAAGTGGTTCATCCTTTGGCAGATCATCACGGTCCTCCCTGCAGGCTGGGCCAGGTGACTTGACCAGTGCTTGCAGCTTTACGCCCCCAATCTTCAGTGTCGGACAAGTTGCAGGCTGTGGACTCAGACGACACGGTCGACTGTTCCTTGACTGCGTATTGGTCGCTCTCATGCCCAAGAGCGTCCTGTGAGTCACTGTGAGTGAGGCTTCCATCTGTGCCCTCCCATTTTCCTGCTGCCGCGTGCCCTTGCGCCCGCCGTGTCTCTCCTGTTCCTTGGCCTCACCTTTTGTTGCATGGACGGCGCGGCCACGCCTGGCCACTCCGTGCCGCCACAGTGCGGCGTGCTCCACGCCCTTTCGCGTTGTACGGTACGGTCGGAGCTTGGCGCCACGTGTGCGACAGCTCCTTTCCGTCCGTTTCCAGTTCTGTGCTTGCGTTCCCCTCTGTCGGGCCGCCTGCGTCAGCCCCCAATGAGGGTCATTTTGTCCCTGGCATGTGCACTCGCTTCAGCGGCCTGTGCGCCTCTGCAGCTAATTATCTCGCCTTGTGCCCCAGTCGAGTCCGTCCCGTTTCCTGGATCTGTCCTTGTGAGCCGCCAATCAAAAAAAGTTTCCCCACCAGTTCAGTTCAGCTTCACCCAGCCTGCAGCTGCCGTTTGAGCGGGCCGGCCGGCGCGCCTCTCCTGGCCAATTCGCCTCGTTCGTGGCCCGGACGTTGCCTTTGCCGCCTGACCCTTGTCTCGCGGCCGCGACCAAAAAAAATATCCCCACCAGC